TCAGGATCAAATTTGATATGCGCCCAAACCAACATATGTGCTTTACCCTCTTAAACACTGATTGAAAACAAAGTCGCACCATCGCTAAACAAATGGGGCGTGATCCCCACTTGTTGGGGGTTTCAAATTTCTGCTCCACCGCAAAAATGTTTAAACTGAACAGATTACAAAAACAACTCAAAGTATTGAGTAGAAAAGAGATAACAAACATATCCAGTGTAGGTGAGTCAATGCTTTTAAAAAAAGACAAGTCATGTAACAAAGCCAACTCTAATAACTAGAACAAAAGGCACAAGCAAAATGAGATCAGCTCATTTAATTGAGCTGTGCTAGGAAACCACCTAGCACAGGCATCATCATTGCCCTGTTGCAAAACCTAGTTGTGCCACATTTTTTACAACAGTTTTCCTGTTGTTTTAAGTTGGAAAACACCATTTCACCTTGACAAAAGAGGGATTGAAGTGTCCCTTTTAAAAACTGTGATGCAGCTTAATATGTCCATGATAAATATGTATATACTGATTGCCACTTCATATAGAGTTGCATGGAATATGACATGTAGTAGTCAGATACTTTCTACCCTATTAGCATTTACTTGAATTCAGAATGTATTCATCTTGAGCTCAGTGACTGAGTTATACTTTCCCTTTATTCATTCCCCTCCCTGGGTCTTCGGATGACTGTTTTCCCTCTAGACCTACTGGCATGATAATTTTCCATTTGATTCAGTTTTGCCTGACAGAAGAGGGCTAAGCTCACTGATAAGATCTCCATAAGAACCAGAAATGTTGTCAGTAATGAGGGGAATTGCTTTGATCTGCTGACAAATGGGTCATTTTGATGGTGTCTGCTTTCTGATTCAGAATAATGCACTCATGACTCTGTTCTCTTACTCTCACTGCCAAGCTATCTTCATACACTTAGCCTCTCCTGCTAAGTATAGGAACAGGGTAGGCAAGTATACGTTTTGGCTTCAGCCTATTCCTTTTTTAATAAATTATGGGTTTGTCAATCTGGATTGGTTTAATGTTGATTTACCAAAATAAAGTGAACTGAACTGAGCCAAATGTTCTATGTTAGTTCTCTCCAGCATATAAGCACATGTTAAAAATCCCTTTAAAAAAATACAAAAATGATTGGAAACAAAAGCTGAAGACAAAAGAATGGAACAGTGCATAGCATACAAATTCAGTGCCATATAAATTGGTGCTTTTAAGAGATTCATGTGAACCTTTCTGCTCTGAGGTGAACAAGTGGTTCAGCAAAGACTTCTAGTTCTTTCTAAAATGAGAAGTGGGTGTACAAGTTTTAATTTATTGTGACGTTCCCATAATCTACACTAGGTCAAATATACATACTCCTTCAAACACTTGCACCCCCATTAGTATTTAAATATGTGAGGTTTCCCAGCTTGCAGAGGTATCATGAACATTATGTGACCATCAACAAAGCCCCATGATTATGTCTGACTTCATATTTCACCACCAGACTGGATGGATATGCTTTTTAGCTTGACTGAGGTCTTTCCTGAAGCTTAAGATAATCTTGCTTTACCCTTTGCAAAACTTGTTTTTACATATGTTTGTGGTCATTGTCTGATTAAAAAAACTCATCTATGTCAAATTTTCAACCATTTGACTGAGTCTGTCAATATGAAAGGAGATGTTTTGGGGGGATGCTCAGGAACAATCGAGAGTAAATTTCATCCCATACAAAAAGATGGTGTAACAGCAACATTGGCTGTAAAGAAGCTAATTAAATACAAGTCTCAGTTTCTAAATCAATACATTCAAGCTCAGCTGAAATGTGCAGCTCTCCACACATGAAAACCAAATATTTTGAAGAGTTTGAAGAAAACATTTAGTGGCCAGAGGAGACAAAGACAACTATTTTGCTGAAGACATAAGAAGGATGTTTAAAGGAGTGACCAACAGTCAAACATGGTGGTTTTCCCCTCATGCTGTGGTGTGTTTCACTACCACTGATACCAGCACATTGTACAAAGGGAATATAATAATATTAAATGGTAGACTAACATGAAATTTTCAACTTTACCTTTGATTAAATCAAAATCAAGTCAAATGATATTCATTAAAAACCCAGAGATAGTTGGACGTTTCACCAGGAAGGTCATGGCATTCCAAAACTTGTTTGGAATGGACAAAATAGGCCAGCATCAGGTTTTGGAAATATGCTTTCCAAATCCCAAACCCTACTGAAAACATAACTTATGCTGTAAAGACAGATAATTTAAATGAGCTCTATCATTGCCAATATATAAGGTGGTCAGACATCCTGCACTTTGCTGATGGCAAATTGCCAAGAGAAAAGATGTGTTTCATAAACATTCCATCCAGGAAAATGAATAGCTTTAATACATCACGAAGAGTCTTGTGTCCAATTTTTCACTTATGAATGCAAATAAACTCCATAAACTTATGAGAATGCCTTTGTGCTTGGATCTTTCTAAACTCTTTATTAAAGGTGTAATACAAATATCAGCTTATGGAACAGAAATATCAGAAGAACATTGAGATTTTTCTTGCTGTTGATGATGACATATTGTCGTTTCCAATTTAACATGATTTAAGTGGTCGACTTACGTGCATGAATGACCTGCTGATTCATTTTCCCAAAATCCATTACTGGATGACTTAATGGATGCACACAAGATACATCACATTCATTATTAATCAAAAACAGTATACCTTTGCTCTGCTTGTTGAGCGGTTGACCAAAATGGTCTAGTTTAAGATTAAAAACCAAGTCATTTTCTAGTTACTTTTTACAATCAAATGTTTTATGCAATGAAGAAACCACAATATAAACTTGAGTGTGTGTTTGAATAACAGAAGCAAATTGTACATGAATGTTATGGGAGGCAGAATCAACTTGCTAAAATGAGTGCAGAAAACATGACTATGACTTCCAATACATTCCAAGCAGGACAATGTGGCAATAGGTAGGAAATCTGGAGGAAGGGAAAACCCAAATGGAATTATGGAGAACCATCACTTCCTAACTAGAGAGAATTTGCACGGTGGTGCCAAGGCCAAAGGATTTAAGTAATTCCATTTTCCATGCATGGCTTCTGTACCTACAGAGCCCTGAAGTGAGGGAAGAGAGGGTTCACAGAGCAGAGCGGAAGGAAGAGGCGATGTAAGTAGGAGTGGGATTCAGGAAAAAATAAAGTGACAAAAGAGAAAAAGAAATAAAGACAATAATTGAGAGAAGAAGGGGTTAATGAGGGTAAAACAGAGGTAATAAGAGTTTGATAACTGGGTATATTTTGCAGCGGTCAAATAGTGGCATTATATATCGCATAGACACCGTGCTTAGAGTTCAGCTGAGATACTAGCTGGAAATGCGTTTCTGTTAGCGTTTAACGGCTAGACTTACTTTGAAGTATTAGCACTAAATGCTTGCAGCTCATTAATTATCAGAACTGTCAGCAGCTATTCACGGAGATATGCGCACAGCCTACTGAGGCTCTCCTCCCCTCCTGTTCCCCAAAGAAAACACGCGTGCATATAGGCACAAAATAGAATTAGCGGATGTGGTGACAGATCCTCTTGAAGACTTAAAAAGAAGCTGAGTGCGAGCGATCACATTTCTTTGATCCCAAAGACACACCTCAGTTCTGCTGAAGAAACAGAGCACTAATGATTGTTTCAATGCTGAAGAGGAGGATCGAGGAGGGAAATAGTTATAACCACCGCTTTCAGTAATGGTGACAGGCTTTTACTCCCGCAGTTATGGGAGCCCAGATGACACCTGCCTAATACTGTATGTCCTTCTCCCGTCCTTGTTAGTTGCTTCAGCTATTTTATCAGCAGGTTGGAATTCCTAGTGTGTCAAAAGTGTGGCTAAATTGGTTCCTTGAGTGGTAAAAGATAGAGACAGCATTGGACATTTTACTTCTCTTGTGCTCTATGCCATTGATGAGAAGAAGAAAAAAAGTAAGACTATTTGTCTGTGGATGTGCATGTACATGTTTGTATATGTATCTGTACAGTATGTGCCTACGTACCAGATTTAAGTGTATGATTGAGTCATTTTGATACACTGGCTGATTTCACGAGTTGTCAGGTTGTTAATGGATAGAAATAGGAAGCTCAGAGGTTGGGACTCTATTTGGGCACTAAATTGAATAACTCCTCCAAATGACTCCCAATTACAGAGTCCTCCAGTCCGAATCACAAAGCATCATGGTGTACTTAATGCACCTATTAGCTGCCTATCTGGCAAGGAAAGCCGGAGCAAAATGCAAGCCTATTTTTGAAAAGAACATTCAGTTTCCCATATCCCGCAGGTATTAAATATTTTTCTTCTTCTGTGCACTTCTTGACTCAAAAGTTACTTTGCTCTTGTTATGCACCATGTTCCCTAATTATAAAAATGATAAGCTCATGTAGTCATTTTCTCAATTTGTACCTTTTGGTCACAGTGTGCCTGTACTTAAAATGCATCTGCATTCAAAGCCTTGCACACATTACTGTATCTTGCTTTTTCCCATACCCATCCTTTCAAATAAAACCTGAAATAAAATTTTAATTTAAAGTAGTCCAAAGTAGTCAAACAGAGTGCATGGTACTCTGTATAACACTAATGGAATTCTTAAGTATGTTGAGGTGAGGCACAGGAAACATTGTGAAAAACATAATGAAAGTCCCACTTGATGTAAATTTTAAGGGGAATGTTTTACTTAAGGTGAGGTTAAAGTTTAGGAAAGTATTTAAACTTATGTTGGGAATGCACTCTTTCTTGTTTATGTACGTTTGGAGTGAATGACATCCAATATAATGTGTAGGATAAATCTTATGGCACTCCACTGTTGTATATTATAAATTCAAAGTTGAATAGCAAAACATCCAAATTGTTTTGTTTTGTGGGTACAGTTGTGAAATCCTCAAAAACGGGACACATGTTTAAACACACTGAGATGCCTTGAAAGACTTAATATTCATTATGTCGTCATTTTCTTTCTGTTTTTCATGCAGATTCGTTCCGACCAGGACCAGGACATCTCAATCCGTTACAGCATTACTGGGGTGGGAGCAGATCAACCACCCAATGAGGTGTTCAGTATCGACCCTGTGCTCGGAAAGATGTTTGTCACCAAACCTCTGGATCGAGAACATCGATCTTCTTATCATGTGAGTCTGGTGGCTCTGACATATCTACGAATCATTACATTTCACATTTGTACCTGTGTGGTCTGCATTTGACAGCACCTTTTGAAGAACTTCTAAGAACAGTGTAGCTTCAATAGAAAAGGTGTGGAATTAATTTAGTGAGCGTAAACTTTGTCAATACAGCAACCATTTCTGAAATGGTCAAAAGCAAAAAATGCTTAGGAGGCGCAAAGAAAAAAAAATCTTTTCAAGCATGTTTTCATATTTTTATGTAGTTGTCCAATAAATAAAATTTTAGTTTTTATTATTTTTTTATATTGTAAAACATCCGTACAACAGATTTTTTGTACTCTGCTGTACAAAAAAATCCCATCTACTTCTTTGTACAGCAGAGGGAATTGGGATGTAAGGTCCAGAAGCAGAGGCTTTCAAGGTTACCTGCAAGAAGTGAAAACTTAAACAGAGACTGGCAATAATTGCAGTGATCATCATTTTACAATGCAGTATTCTCCAGGGAGTAAATTAGTCTTGGCATAAAGATGTTATCTTGACAAAAAACACCAACTAAACTGTTTTTGCAATGTCCTGAAACAATGACCATTAGAAGTGGAGTTTTCTAGTAATATGCATCCCACTTGAGCAAAATAACATGTAAACAACAACTGTACAAATGTGATAAATGCTAAAAATTTCAGTAGCATATAATTTTGACATTGGATTTTCTTGCAGGGCATTTCTATTCAGTTTCTTCTCTTTCAGCTCCATATGCAAGGAGTAATGTAAGAATGTAAGAAAAAAAAAGATCTTTTTCTCTGATTAAATTGATGTTGGCATTGTTCATGAGGATATGACATTTAAAAAAACTCAACATAAATGTCACCCAGCTGGACTTAATGGGACTTTAATGTTTTCAATCCAAAAAACTAAAATGTGAAACTTTTCATGTATTTTTTTACTTTGTTCTTTAGCAAACCACAGCTCTTTGACTTTCTGGCCTTTTCTTTGTTGTTTACTTCATATTTCATGCAAGGATGGAACACAGTTATGCTCTACTTCTTTTTATTTCAGGAGAATGAGTGCTTTAGAATTCGAAATCAGCCAAGCAACAAGATGCATTCTTATGAAGAGAGAGAGAGAAAAAAGTGTTGAAGCTTCTCAGTTTTCTGCTGTCTTCATCATGAAGCCGTTTCTTGCCAAATGTAGAGCACTGCCTGGTTCAGTCCCTACTTCGTCCCTGGTTTTAAAGATAATAACTTTAATGTGAACTCAGAAATACGTTTTGCCTCCTTTAAACAGGGCAGAAATCTCCTAACTCCTGCTGAGATTGAATTAGGCTGTGGATTTGTGGGACGGCAGTAGGTTTAGTTGAGGGGTCTGGCTCCTGGCCTGCTATATAGCAGTGGATATTGAAAGAGTAAAGTTAAATTTCACCTCAGGGTGTTCTGAAGATGTCATTTTGCTGAACATTGAAAGGATGGAGAGGAAGTTGATAAAGAGAAGAGAATGAGGAACTGTGGAGTGAATTTTCACATCTTTGTGATCAAATGGAAGCAAAGAGGGGAACAGTTTTCATGGTAATTTGGAAAAATATTCACACCCCATTTAGATTTCTGCATATTTTTCCATTGTAACCAAATACCTCCATGTCAAATTTTGTTTGACAGAACAAAAATTTATACAGCTGTATTTGCTAAAGCTCCAAGTCTCTTGGCATGTGCTTTTATCAACTATGCACATCAAAAGACTGAAAGTTTTAGTTTATATATTAAACTAATATATAAACTATATAAGCTGCCATTAGAATAATGCTAATGGCAGCATTATTCTGTTTGGAAACTTTTCGCCATCAAATGTGATCTGACTGAACTTGAGCTAATTTACAAAGAACAGACAAAAGTTTTAATTTCAGTACATGCCAGGCTGCTATTAAATTTCTTATTAAATACATTGAAGTTTCTTACTGTAACATGGTGAAATGTTTGAGTAGGTTTACTATTAACATTACATTTTACAATCAAATCACACATGCAGCAACAATTCATTCTTTTTTATGTCATGCTTTCATTCCCCATCCATTCACAGAAAGAGGATTTCATCTTCCCATATTATTTCTTTTGATGTCAATGCCTCGCAATGAATTCAGAGACAGAAGCTCAGCTTGAAAACTGAATGTGAACATTTATTCATAATAGAAAACATATGTGCAAGACTTTATTGTAGAAGCAGAATGTATTGTACTTTTTCTTTCATTTTACTTTTGTGATAGAAGTAAACATCTCTGCTGCTTCACACTGGCACAAAAATCAATGAATAAGTCATGTTCAGGGACATAAACATTCCCAAGCAAAGTGAACAGGTTTTGAGAGAATCAAGGAGTTTATTTTGAAATGCCACTGCTGTTCTTTAGTTCTAACCTTTTCTCCTACAGAGGATAAAACAAGCATATGGCCTTAAAATGTGCCTGATTATTTATTTCATTACTCTAGTTTGTTTGTTTTTTGTTTTTTTTTTACTTCCAGACTTCATAATCAGACAAAGAGTGAAGCTTCATGTTTTCCGTTCCAAACACTGTGAGAAATCAGAGCCTGTGATTTCATCGATCTAAGCATTGCCAAGCTGAATTTCAGATGTGCTGACAGGTTTTTTTTTGTTGTTGTTTTTCGTACAGTCAAAGGGAAGTGAAGAGATTTCAAGGCTCGCTTTCAAACAAAACCAGACACAATGCTGGCCGGGGGATCCAGTGCAGTCATTCTGAAACCGACACCTCACTTTTACGACTGAGCCAGCCTTCCATGAAATAAGATGTCTTCCGTTTGGTTCCTGCTGAGATAAAAGTTTGGAAAGCTAAATATGAGCAGATAAGAAGTCAGGAAAAAGAATACAAAGGCAATTTCTCTGCAGGGACAGTATTCTGAAGTTTCTATCTAATATGCCTGATATTGCTATGGTAGGAAAAATATTTTTAAAGTTTTGTTGCTGTACAATTCAGTTATGAAGATCTTATCTTGCTGTGCCAACAGAAATGTTTTTGTGTTTTTTTTTTTCCAGTTTGGAGATGCTGTGCCTTTTTGGTAGTTAAACATTAAGTCACTTTGCCTAATTTGTTTTTGCTGAGTAAAAATTCTGTGATTCTTTAGGGTCAACAAAAAACACAGTGAATGATGTAATATATACTAACAATTCTATAGACTTCAATGGTAGTTTTTGTTGTATATTTATTGCAGTTACTCTTTTTGCTAAGTTCTCTTAAAAAGCTTTCAGATAAGACCCAAATTCAGTCTTTGGCAAAGCAAAAGTCTAGATCTAGTCAGAATAATGAATAACTGTCTGGAGCAATTAGATAATGAAAGCCTCTCGTAGCCGCATGAGCGTCATGAGCTCAATATCAGTAAGTTACTCTGGGATTACAGGAGGAAACAATATCTTAAATTTAGACTAAGACTGACTTCACAAGGATATAAAGCAACTTCCACAAGAAACGTGAACCCTAAAAATTTCAATATGGATTTTTTTTCTTTATTATTATTACTATTATTATTTAAAAAATATTTTTATGCCTCTGCTTTCAAGCATAATTGTTTTCCACATTAGTCATTGTTTAGATCCATCTGAGCAACAGATTAAAAATATATTTAATACACTTTAATTTACACAATTAATAAAACCTATTTTGTTCAAGAATAGTTTAAATAATAGTAATGAAATCAATTCATTGAACTAATTAAACAACAAAAAAAATGTCCTGCATGGCAGAATTGCTGAAACAAATGGTGTTCCATGTGTTGTTTGTTTATTTCATTATTTCATTGTCTTCCAATGAAAATCTGAAATCTTTTGCTGCTGAACCACTGCTGAAAGTAATGCATCATGTTGCTTCACTACCATAAAATCCCTACAAGATTCATTATGATTGTTGGTTCTAGTGAACTTAAATAACTGCACAAGGTAATATACATTTTACAGCTGTATTACTCAGTAGCAATTTGATATCAATTTGTGAGTTCAGTTTTGTTGTGCAAAATATTGTTCAGAACTTGTCATACTAACAAGCTGAGTAGAGTTGCAGTATCTTTACTCTTCGCGGTAGTGTCTGATATGCTCCACTCTATAGAACCTTTCCACAATTGTTTTATTTTTCTTCAACAAGAACATTAGTTCTGTTCAATGACCTGTTCAAGCTGGAGCCTTACTTTGATTTAATCCTCCAGATAAACCTCCTGAGTGTTGAGATGTAATTGGGGCCCTTTTTCTGTCTCTTTCTCCCAGCTGCGGGCCCATGCGGTGGACATGAATGGGAACCAGGTCGAGAACCCGATTGATCTGTACATCTTCGTTATCGACATGAATGACAACAGACCAGAGTTCAAAAACCAGGTCTACAATGGTTCTGTGGATGAAGGTTCTAAACCAGGTAATGACACAGAAGAGAAGGTAGAGGGATAATTTATCCAGAGCAGTTCCAGAAAGTAGCCTTTGTTGCAGCAACCAATGTAAGTCTGCAAAAGATCAGTGGTGTGAATTAGAGGAAAGAACACTGTCATTACAAGTGTTGCACAAATGTGAATATTGGGCAGAACAGAGAATTTTCCGTTTCCTTTGATGTATAAGTCTGTCTGTCTCTTACAGCTTTTCATTTAGCCCAGAAAAACAAAGGCTTTAAAGCAATAAGCATTTTCATGCTGGTGAAAAGATTGAGGATTAAATGTACCAACTGTTGTAGCTACTGGCTTGTTTGATATCAAACCTCGGAGCAGAAGTACGCCAGAGATGTGCTCTGTGTGCAGGCCTTTGTAAGTTTGAGTCTGATGAGCCCAACTTTATAATGCTGGAGGTGATCTGAAGAGGTGTCCAGGTGCTCGTTTTCTTCTCTAAATTTGTGTTTACTTTTTTGATTCTGCAATTTTTCACAATGATCTTTGCTTTCCCCATTCTGTTGGCATTCCCCCGGCTTTGCCCCCACACAGCATATGAGTCTCTATGGCATGCATGACATTAAGCTGAACAATAATCATAAAAAAAGACTTTTAGAATTTGGAGCTCCAGTGATTTCAAAGGAAGTCCAATTACAGACTTGAATTAGTTTGCAAATTAAAGAGTCATTATGGGGACGTAATCCTGTCAGGCACAGCTTAGGACGCCCGTACAAAGGGTCCACATTAAACCCCATATGAGTGCAGCTTAATGAAATTACCCCAGTGATGTGTGACACATTGTGATTCTTCATCTTTCACTGTATCCCTCCATCTCAAGTGAAAAGTGTGGGGTGGGGACTGATAGTCTCCCGCCTTGGAATCAAACCAAACACGCAGTCAGTCCTCTGTTGCTCGCCTTCTCTTTCCTGCTCTCTCTTCATAACATCTTTTTTTCTTGTCTAACTAAGAGGGCTTTAGAGAGTGCTCCCTCTGGCCGAGTCATTGACAAATGTTGCTTTGAAACGTAATGAAGTTTGAAATGGGAGCTGCGGTTACAATTATCCTCGGACAGGGGCTGTCAGTGGCATGATATCACTATCTGTGGCAATTAGAATCAACTAGCAAAGAGGGAGAGACAGAGAGATTGGGTGACAGGCAGCGGGATCCCACAGAGTTTCATGAGAGCATGGAGACTTGAAAGCAAACAAGCAAAACATTCATGGAAGCACAGAGGCTTATTCTTCACATAAAGGGTGATTCATCAGAAGGGGCTCGTGCATTTAGGCACCTACAGTAAGTTATGTAGTGATACCTTCTGCATGGATTTGAACTGCACCCTATTTCTGCAATATTACATAATACTCCCCCTGTGAACAAATACTTCTTAAAATGGAAACTTTCTTGTCACTGAATTAATATTCAAACGTTGAATTATACATTATTCATTTTAGGCCTGCGAAAATATTGTAGTTTTTAAATAGATTTTAGCACATCTTTACCTAGATATTGTAAGCAAGATAACAGTCCTAATTTATAGGACTGTTGGGGATCTCCTCTCTGAGTAACAGGACTTCAGATTTCATTTGCTTCAAGCTTGCATTAATATTGTTGATAATGTTTATGATCTCTTACTTATAAAGAGAAAAGTGACACAGTAAGTTAAACTCAAATTATTTGTCTCTTGTGATTTTGTTTTACATGTGAGAATGGCCCTTTGTTCAAAAAGAACAGTTTAGATAGTGTGTTACAAATGTGTTACACATCAGTGCAATCCTGTGGGAAGGTGCTACACTGCCAGATGTAAAGATCAAAACTCTTGTCATTAATCAGAGCGTCGACTCTGAGTCAGTGTCGCCTGGCAAAGCAGCTAGTTGAGGCGTTTTCCACATGTGGGCGGACAAATTTGGCAAATGCTGTCCACACAGGCATTTACAGTGTTTGAACAATAATACTATGCTAAGAAAAATCCTTTTTGATTAAAAATACAGTCACGATTCAGTAACAGAAATCTGATTAATTTAAATTTGTATTGGATTAAGTGGGAGCGAGGCCAGAAAAGTATTCCGTGGGTCAGTTTGTTTTGGTTTGGCATCCATATGACAGAAAGACACTTCCAAAAACTTGGAGCCCTGCAGCATTTTTATTGTGTATTTTGTTGTTGTTTTTCTAACATGAAGCAAATAATTAATGCAATTTTGAACATGTCTCAATCTCTTCTAGTTCATAATTCCACCTTCCTTCATCTGCCCTTTCTCATTTTGCCTCATTACGTGGTTTTATTCTATAAAATACAAAAATATTGTGGGTTGGATGGCTACAGAATTTGCTAAACTGTAATCAAACACAGAGAAGATTTTATGTTTTATAAACAAATATGTGCCAATGCAAGAATTGTGTTTACAGGTTGTAATTTTGTTTGAAAAGAAAATGTTTGTGAGGCCAGAAAAAATTATTAATGTGGGACAAGCAATTATGAAATAATATGTATGTGATGTTTTCTCTGAGCAGTTAGCCCTGCTCTCATGTATCGAAGTTGACAGGAGTAATCTGCTTTCACTTCCAATCTTGGGTAGAGGCTTTTCCTTTTTTTTTCAACATGTTTATTAATTACTGAGTGAAGTCCACCTGCAAACTGCTTTTGAGTTGCTGAAGTTGTTTTTTTGCTGTCAAATGTCAGAGATGTATGTAGCTTGATAAAAAATCTTCAAAAACATTTCAAAACCATTTCCAGGGAAAAATACTCATAGGTCAAAGCAGAAAACGTTAAAACAGAGCGAGCTCAAAAGCTTAAAGATTGTGAACACTCTGGCAAAGTCGAATGTGATGCAATGTGAGATATTCTGTTTCTGTGCAAGTGACTGGCAAAAATCAATAAGTCCCTCTGGAGAAACTGAGTTTAACAAAAATGTCCCAACGAATGGCAAGGTTTTTTTTTGTTTTTATTTTTAACTTTTCGTCGTAGATCCTCCGCCATACAGGACAGTAGGAATGTATTTTTTGTTTGTTTGTTTTCCATATACTCATTCATTGAAACTCATGTAACCCAGCAGGAGTGTTTATTGCCCATGGTTTAGTCTTGAATCTGAGAAAAATAGGTTTGATAAATGCCCTTTCTTTTATTGATGTGGAACCGCTGTGGCAGGTTGAGTGCAGGGAATGGAACATGAATGGAAATGAACAACAAGAAAATTATCAAAACACAAATTAACACCAAAACCCGAACATAGCAGTACAACACTAACATAGAAAGCAGTATTTTTAGCAATAAGAGCAACATTAACTGCATCTAGACATGCATGTTGACCAAACTTTTGTCTTCGCCAGGAACTTACGTAATGCATCTATCTGCATTTGATGCCGATGACAACACCACAGCGAATGGGATGGTGCGCTATCGGATTCTGTCCCAGACACCGCACAGCCCCATCCCTAACATGTTCACCATCAACAGTGAGACGGGAGACATTATGACAGTGGCGCCTGGACTCGACAGAGAGGTTTGTCTTTCATGTTTCACGCTTCACAAAGATATTGTGACAGTGAGGAAATGAGTGCTTTTAAATTCAAGAACCCCTTTGGGTTTCACCATGTCTAAGTGGGCATAAGACACATCTTTATTTTCTCTTAAGGACAACTTTTTTTAACAGTATTGTTTACTCTGTCAACACTTTTAAATTTCATGTAGCGATTTGTCAGAACATATTGGCTCCACACAAACACATAATGTGTTTTTGTGGAGGAAACTCCTCTTTTTTTTTTTTTACACTAAATAGTCTTTGGTCACCTTGTTTATGGAGCTCAAAAAGTTGTGACAAGATCCAAATGTGTTTATTCTCGCATCAAGGATGTGCCAGTGACAACTCTGCAAAGGCATTTGCGAAACAGATCATCCTCCCAAACTGTCACTACTGACAGACCTATTAACAACACATCATGCTGCGGTGGGCTGCTCATGTTGTGTTGTTCATGCCTGTGAGTGTGTGTATGGCTCTGCGGTAGAGACAAAGGGAAATTTTTTGAAATGGAATGCCCTTGACACCTGTCAGACAAACACAAAAGCCCATATAACCACATCTGTGCTCGGTAAAACAAGAGCAGTGGAGGGAAAAGGAAAAGCTGAGGGGGAGCAGGAGAACAAAAAAAGAGCTAAATAGATGGGGTATTACCGTGATGAGCGAAGAACTGAGTGTGAATTTGGCAAAGAAAAATATAGGGTGACAGAGACAGAGACACAGGGCAAGACATTGGGAAGCCAGAGGGAAAGAAATGTATGAGGCCAACATGTACTAAAAATTTCCCAGCTGATCCGCTGCTGCTTACTTTTTCTGTTTTATCTGCACTTTAGCAAATCCAGATACTCTCCCTAAAATCTAGGATTAAACTCCTCCTATTCCATTTTGTACTTCAAAGAACTGTTACTGACATAATTATTTTTGCCTTATACTTCAAATGATATTATAGGTTGAGTTCAGTGTGATCAGTTTTCTCTTTTTTCAGTAGCTGTTCTAACTACATCTTACTATTTTATTGTAATCTAACAGCAAATTAACTCTACTCCTTCCTGCTATTTAAAGGAAGCTCAGCAAATTGTCTGAGAAAAGAGTAGAGACGTTGAAGCAGATATGAACAGCATCATTTAGATGCCTTTAGAACAATGAAAAAGTAAAAATACCTCCTAAATGTTTATTGATGTTTTAACACTACAACCACAAACTTTTATGGATTTTTATATATTTTTTTCATTTTAAAGACCCACAAAGTTGTTAATGATAGTGAAGTGGAAAGAAAGTAAGACATAAAACTGCAGTGTTTGTTTTTATTCTGATTCTGCCAAATGAACTATTATGAAACCAATTGTGTTCGCCAGTCAACAACACAATTTACAACACACACAAAAAAAGATGGAAGAGTTCAAATCAAAGCATTCATGTGTTAGAACAACCCAGGTAAAGTCAAATTGGACTTCAAAATTGTTGTCAGACAGGCACCAAAAGAACTTGCGACTACAACTGCATTGAAAACTTATTCTAAAAAGTATTTATCCAGAGAGGACTGAAAATTTATCCAATACACACTTCTCCCATTTTTATGCATAAAAAAAGCAAAACACTTACGACCAACAACAGATGTCATTTTATATTTTATTGTCATATAAAAGATTTGGATTTGTAACCTGAAAAAAATATTAAAAAGTTTTACACTTCTGAAAGATACTGCATAGACTTTGCCATTCAAGCTAACTCAACCAATTTAACTTAACATGTCAGCAAGTCTTGTATAAAGACAGTGTTAATGTCTTTCAAGAACTTGTCTAAGACACTGCTACTTATTTAGCATGTCTGTACTTCATGTTAATAGAACTGTAAATGTGCCTGTGGGATCCATGTGAAAAGGTTAAGAGTTTAAGTGAGGCTGAAAGCCGGTTTCTTTACGCTCTTGACCATAAAATCTCATTCTGATCAGAGCATCTTCAAAGTGGCAGAACTTGAGATGTTGCTGTAACATAACATCTATTATTAATGTTAAGTGGGCCAAGGAGAGACACCAAGTACAGCAGAAAGAGTGTCACTGAAGCCCAAGGTTCATTGATGGCTTAGGGACCAAGAGCTTGTGCAGCTGGTCTATATATTAAACTGTGATGGCATAACCTTGTCAAACTTGGTTGTAGAAGTAAAGGGCCTGTGGGCCGTATGATTCTGTTGTGGTGCTAAATTTAAAAAGCTGTTGTTACTGATCTGCTGCACTTCAAGCTATGTAAGTGCAAATTTATGAAACTTCTGTGTTTGCTTCAAAACAGACCTGTAGTGTTGTGTATTTGTCACCACAAAACCAAGATCTGTTGTAACAATTACACAAAACATGTTACATACAGCCACGACTTTGTCAACGAACATGAAGTTGTGTGTGAAAAAACATTTTGAAACCTCCCTTTGGAAGCAACAAATTTAGAGTCATTTTCTTTTTTGTCAGTCACACATCATCATGTATGTTGCTTTGGAATATAGAGTAGCTTTAATTCATCAAGGTTTGTGGTTATTTTTTTATATAATTACATAAGGTCCATGAAATCTGGATTTTGTATGTCCTGTTGCAACAGCTACTTCAGACATTACTAAAAATCCCCTGTGAATATTCCTTCTCACTTTAGTTTTATGAAAATTACTTTAAACCCTTCCCAGATTGATGGACAGCAAACATTGCTTATCTAAGGTCATTCTTTGCAGTATGTTAAATGCATCGTCCACATGTTGGGTTTTGTACACTTATGGTTAGATTTCAATAATTTTACAAACTGGAAAAGATTAGCTTTTTTTCTGATGTCCTTTTGCTTAAAACTATTTCCCATTACTGCAAAAACATATGCTGTGATTGAGGCACAAATAACATAGCTCTGTTTTTCTCTTATAGTGTTCCTAGAAAACAGATAGGAAGTCTGTAACTGTGTAATGAGCAGCTTTTTATGGGAAAATGCACCAAAAACATTACTTGTCATATTTTAGCCAGCATTTTTGCATTTTGAAACCTTGACAGTTAAGCACCACAAAGTACTTTGTAGTCTGATCTGTGAAAGGTGTTATGTGACTGCAAAAGCAATAATTAAATGACCTATTTTTTGTCAGATTTCACAGCTTTTTTTTTAAACCCTGCTGTGTCCTGTCCTCTCCTCTGTTCTTTCCCCTTAAAATGTCTGCTTCCTCTTCTTTTTTAACTCTCACATTGATTCTCTGCTAACTGGTCTGCAGTGGACTTTTAAAGAGCTTGTCGACAGCAACAGACCTCAGCACTCCAGAGGAAACTGGGTGTGCTGTGGTATTGTGGCAACCTGAGAGTTTCAGAGAAGCTCTGCATAATTACTTCATTGTCTAATTAGTGAGTGTTATGTACAAGCTGTTCACAGACTGATGGGACAGCCAGGCAAGAACAAGATATGTACAAAAAGAAGCGTCAATGTGTGCTTGCGTGTTTACGTTAATGTTAATGAGTGTGTGCTCAAGGTTGGAGTTCAGTATCTCATTTAGCATCAAGATGAGAGGAACCAAGAGGAGCTGTCTAATCCTCCTGATGTGGAGTCCTGGTCTAATTGGAATATTTACTTGGTAATTAGCAGGTGAGAGAGAGACAGTGGGAATGTAATTGGGAATCTCAGTGACAAGACGCATTATCCAGACAGTCGGCTCCTGGGCTCTATCCTTCCTGCAGCCCATTAACTGCACCCTGGGACAGAAGAAGAGAAAAAAGAAAGCTGCAAAAGAAGAACGTACGAAAGAATGAGAAAAAACACAAGTGGTGCTGTGCACAGAAACACAAATAAGGAAAAAGAACTCTCATCCCACTGAAGTGACATTGTGTCATTTCAAAAGAGGGAATGGCATTTATTATTCCCTCATATTACTGCTTCACAGATAGTCTATTAATCTCTGTCAGTTGGATCATTGTCTCCACATCTGTCGATCAGTGGTACTGAATAAGCAGCGCGCCTAACGACTTTGATGGCATGCCGTACCCGTGGGGAGGCTTTACAGTGCAGCCTCTGGATGGTGTGATGTCTGGCCAGGTTCCACCAAGAAATGTTTCAGTTCAATCAAATGAAAGACTTTGCCCTTATAAAACCACAGCATGCCAAAAATGCTTTGTTTTTCTCCTGGGAGCTGCAGTCTGTAGACTATGTGCTCATAGAAGAGAAAGCTATCTTTAGATGAATAACTGCATAACTATATCTCCCCCCCCCCTTTTTTTTTTTTTTTTGTCCTTTTACAGAAAGTGTCCCAGTACACCATCATTGTGCAAGCCACAGACATGGAGGGAAACCTCAACTTTGGCCTTTCCAACACAGCCACTGCCATCATCACTGTCACGGACATCAACGATAACCCTCCCATGCTGACCTCAAGAACTGTAAGTTATTACAAATATGTAAGCATGGAGAAGGTAACTGTTTGGAGAATGAGAGGGTCTGGGTTCAAAGAGGATCGTGAAAATGAAAAGAAGGCTAGAGGGAAGTCCTGAGAGAAGAATGTGTAGCTATAGGAGAAATGAAAAGCAAAAAAGTAGGAGTTAAGAGAGTAAGGAAGAAATGAAATTCAATTTTGGTTCAATTGTATTGATACACTGATTTCAAGGCTCCTTGCAAAGAAAGAAACCCAATTCTCTTTGAGTCAGAACTTTCAACAACATTATTGTGTGGTTATAAAACATAATTTATGCTTTTAAAATACAGAGAATGCCTACTTGTTTTCCTGTAAAGGGTCTTACACACGAGGAACAATGATCTATATTATTGACTTTCATCTGCAAGAATACTCGATCCTGCAAATGGTGTATGATTGTTGTCATCATAAGGATATTTAGAATGATGATTGCATTACACTGGGTCATTACTGGGTGTAGGGTAAAAATTAAAAGTCCAATGTAATGCATTTTATGTAATGTATTAAATCACTAGATAGGCAGGACATTTCCCTTTTGGCTGAGTCTCACATCAAGTCTGTCACTTGTAGTGTACGTTACAAGACGGCTAAGAGCAGAGTCTGTTTCCTGCACTTCTAATTAATTATAAACAGTCTTGGTAATTGTCAAAATTTCTCTTGTGCAGTATTCTCTGAATCCTGCAAAAATCTAATGTTTAGTTTAAGATGACAAATGTGGCTAAGCTCAATTGATGTAACACATTTGGAAGGCATGGTCTCATTCATTTTGTTTCCTAATAATTCTGAGCAAACCATTCAACTGTTTGTAAGGCAGGCAAGTCTTTTGGTTTGCCTAATGACTTCTGAGACTGCTACATCCAACTGTTAACAGCACTATGTGTGATTAAGAACTTGAAGGAAGAATGGGTGAACGAAAAGCCCTTTGCTCTCCGACTCCCGGGGCAGAAATTAATACTTTGTCAACAATGTGCTCAGCCTTTCAGTTGGTAGGAAAAGCAGTTAGTGTTAGTATTTGCTCTGGGGGCTCTTAGGACTCTTACGATGTTCAGCTAGCACCGAAGTCGAGCATGTGTCAGCTACAAACCTCATCAGAGAGGTGGTACATCACACAGAAACATGCAGAGAAACAAGCAGGGAAAAGATGAAGAAAAAAATCTAGAAAACAAATGTGTATATGTTTAAATATACTGATGAGCAGACCACATTTTAGACGACAAAACGGAAAGAAAAAAGAAAACGGAGAATGACAAGGAGACAAGGAATAATGAGGGAGTACTTTGTCACTCAAGCAATTTCCTACAGTAGCAGTGATGAAGTGCAGACAGGCCTTGTTGTAAATCAGTAGCCTTCCCTGACTCCTTTTTCTGCATTAACATTCCCTACTGATGCTGGTATATTGATGATGCAGGGCAATAACAGATTGATATCCTCTAACTGGATTCCACCTAGTTAAAGTGCATTTCCATCAGCGTCACATGAGGAAGTTAATATTATCAGGAATATTGATGATAAACTTTAGTAGAGGTTTAGGATTCAGGATGAGGAAAGCACTTTCACCCACTCCCCTCATAAATCATCCATTTTAGTAGGGGGAGATAACATGAAAAGCCATTTTGTTGAGATTGCAGGCCATTATGCAAATATTTAGTTTTAGCAATAAACCCCATAGATCTTTCAGCATGTCCCAGAAATATAAAGTTTGGGGAATTTGTCTTTAATGTTGATGATTAATATTTCATCATGCCTATCAGAGGCTGGCCTATTTTTCAAGTAGTCACAGAGCTTGTGTATGTGTGCAGATGCAAAGCCTTTGGGTGTTTATTGCATTATGTCTCTAATACAGATAGATTTGATAAAATGAATCAAACTGTTTATACCTCTTGTGTTTACTCCATTGCTGCTATGTTTCCATATGGTATTATAGATAAGTGCGGGTTGCACAATCGTACTACTTTGTGCAGGATTCTCTATCCTGGTTTCTTGGCCTCTTGCCTGTGCTCCCCTTACAAAGTTCACATGATGAAGCTCCCTGTCACTTTTCGCCTCTCTTTCTACCTTACTCTCCCCCTTGTAGTTTTCTCAGAGCCAAAGTAGTGACAGAAGAGTAAGGGTGCTGGCAAGAGGTATAATGTCAAGTGTTGAGAGAAATTTAGCAGTGCTCATTGCCAATCACAATCAAAGCGATCCACCCTTTTTCCCTCATGTCCAGCACTTGGAGTTAAGATTTGCTATCACTAAGAAGAAAAGCGGCCTAATTAGATGTTTGCGTCTCTGCCTTAAGGTAGTCTTATTACAATTCTACTCTGAGAAATCACATACCGATGTACATTTTATCAAGCATTAACTGATAGAGAATTTAACCAGAACTACCTCCACAGTTATTTGCACCTCGAATAAAGACAAAGAGAGCATTAAGATGAATAAATCTTGTATTTCACAAGCATTTGTCCATTTTTACCAAAATCAAAAAACTCCTTAGGAAATAATTTTGTTGTTTACAAAATCACCATTTTCACACATATTGGCATACCTTTTCAATCCTATAAAACAAATAGTACTGAATACTGTTTTTAAAATGTTTTGAAGCTCTTAATTAGTTACCCAATACTTCCTATTATTCCTGTGGAATACATATATGACATTGGGCATATTTCTGTTGACGAGATAGGTAGATGTAAAAGATGTCATTCTCAACATTGCAAATAATAAGAAGGGTAGCAAAAGGAAAACAAATATATATATAAAAAATTCTGCAGCTGACGTATGGACCTGGAATCCGGAAGTCTCCAGAGGAGCAACAGACTATGCAGTTTTCTGCTTATAACCGCCAGGACTTTAAAATTTTCAAGCACTTTCATGTTATAACATGGTAATTATTTTGTCTGAGCAATATAATTATTGTAGCTCATTGTGTCACCTTTATACAATATAATCATCATGTTTATGCAATATAGTTGTCACATTTATACAATATATTGTTTGTACAATAAATTATAATGTTTGTTAAGATAACATGGATATATTATCATGTTCATACATTGTATTATTATGTTTGTACGATATAATTATAACGATATATTGTGGCAGTGCTCAAAAATGTAGTTTTCTCCTTGACAGCAACACGCTTCTGTACCTTTCAGTTCCCCCAAATAAAAAACTTGTAACTGCAGTGTTGCTAGTCAGGATGTGGTGAATCCTTTAAAGGCTTTGATCACAACTGGTTAACACTTGCCCTTAGCTTTTACTAAGGGCAAGTTACTCAGAAACAAGATGTCGAAGGATTCAACTTCTGAGCTTCCTCTGAAGTTTATTTTATTGAATTGGTTTTGGGGAGTCCCTGAACCAAACTACAGCAATAAATCACACAAGCACATACAACAAATGCTCAGACAATAACATATGACAGCCTGCCTACTTAGCCAAACCAGACAGTGCATCAAGACCACCCGGACTTGTCTGTTGTCTTAAGAATGTCATTGAGTCTCTGAACAGCTCTCCTGATGCAGCCCTCTAATCTGTCTGCTGCTGTCGGCTGTTTGCTGGTTGATGTGAGCGTCACCAAGCAGGGTATTATGGTCTGTTGGAGTGTTTGGTCTGTGGCTTTGCTCTTTGATATCCTTCACCCACATAAGCGGCTCAGTAGCTCATCCATGCCTGTTACCCGAGGTGACATGGTAACAGCGTGGTGCTATACTCCAGTTACCTCCAGATGAGTTGAAAACACAACATGACCTCATGTGTCTGGACTTGTCAAGTTGTTTACTTAGGTGGGTCTGTGGTCAGCTTGTGTTTTGCAGACTTCTTGTAGCATCAGCGTCAATTATTCCCCGCGTTTGTTCAAAACTAACAAGAGTCCCCGTCATAACCGGCACATGACAGACAGCGGCGTGCTGCTCATCAGACTTATCAGGACAAAGCACATGTATTTGTAAAGCGTGGGGACGACCAAAAACTACTTAGATACACTCAAACAGATGTTTCAAGCCTCCCGGCTGATAGCTTTTTTCCTCTGCAAACATTTTGCCTCCTTGTCATTCTGGATTTCAAAGGAATTAAATATTATTGTTCATCAAAGAATACAAAAAAAGAAAACAAAAGTAAAACTATACCCCTATTTGCATCTACTTGCTAGTGTAAAAGCTGAGCTTTCTCCTTCCTTGTGGAAGTGAGATAAACTACTTTAGTTGAAAGACTTGAAAGGATTCTATTCTTTAAAGGGGCTCAATGGATACAAAAGGAATACAAGACCAGTAAAAGTAACTTTGTTTCAGAGAGATGTAGCTTCCCATTTTTCTCTGCTTCTTACAGTTTTCTGGCGAGGTCCCAGAGAACACAGTGGATGTTGCAGTGGCTAATCTGACTGTTATAGATGCTGACCAGCCCCACTCTCCTAACTGGAACGCCGTTTACAGGATCATCAGCGGGGACCCAACTGGGCACTTTACCATCCGCACCGATCCTGTTTCCAATGACGGCATGGTCACCGTGGTGAAGGTAACATACTATGCTTAAGTGAAATTCTAAACTTTATGGCATTTCTGAGGTTCTTATAGTGCAGAATATCAGATTCCACCTGGATTTAGGTGCAAACTATTATAATAGGCGACAGAGTGAAATGAGGACAGGTGGAGGTCTTTGCCTTTCACATGCCCCTTTGTGTCCAAAAGAAGGATTGGAGGCTAATGTGCCCTTCAGAAACAGCTCATGCACTGAAACACACACTTTAATGTGGTGGCTGGTGAGACCACTGCAGCAAATTAGATATTGATTTCTCAATTACAATGGCAATGGTTTTATACACTCATAATGTTCTCACTGCCATGGTAAATGACAGTAACAACAAAGCCATGTCTTGTTACAACTTGCTATGTTAGCGACAAGACCACTCATAGCAAAGCTGGCCTCATAGTTTCAGGCCCCAGTTACATTACTTCAATTGTATTTTTTTTAAACAGCTATTGTTTTCTTCATGTTTGACTCTAATCCCTATTCCCCACCAGCACAATTTGTAAAATGTAAATGCTTTTACCCTGAGCAGATATTCTTTGAAGCAGTATCAGGTGCATGAGGCTTTTATTTTTTAGCACTCAAAAATCACATCTTTATATATTCATCATCTTCATCTTTTGAGGGATTTATAACTGTAAATCCCACGATGTATAAAGAATCATACAGATTCTTTAAAATTTAAATCCTAGAGTACAAGCTATTTCTGCAACCTTTACTCTTATGTAATTATTAAATAAAAATATGGATTTAAATTCAAAATTCACAATTCTTGTCTTTATTTTTACAGTCATATCATCATTTTCTCATTTTATTTTAAGTATGCACTATGTATTTGCTTCTTTAATTCAGTGTTGAATAAAAATTATTAGTGATTTAGACATCAGAGTTATGAGTTAACATTTTCAATCCAATCTTTGGAATCTTTAACAATAGATGTTGTTCAAGCTTTTAACCCATTTCTGGGGTTTTAAAACTTAATATGGAATGCTGGATTAAATCAGTCCGTTTTAAATTAGTATTCTATTATACTAAAGTAATGAAGTAGTCTACATTTGACTTATGAGTAGGTTTGCAAACTAAATAAAATTTGTTTAATTCTGTAGTGCAGTCTGTAGTCTATGGAAATCAAGCATTATGATTACTTTTCCTTTTGTAAATGTTTCTACATTAGAAGTGCTTAGTGTCCTTTCAGAACTGCATTTATATACTTGCATGTATCTGCATGCTTTTTGTGGTACTTATCCTCGTAAGGCTTGATGTAAGTGTTTCTATCATGTTGCAAATGTTTTACAGATATTACTATTATATTACAGTGACCTTCTGGAGCCAAGGATGTTTTCAGCATCTATCTGACTTCTGCAAATCACATCTCACAATAATGTTAACAAATAGCACTAACATGCCATTATAATTCCCTCTGCAGCCTGAGCAATGAGCACTGGTGTTTTGCTTCTCTTCATTATCTCTAGATGACTGACTTTAATAATCCATTCCTCTCACTCCCTGTGAAATTCAGCAGGCAGCTGGGTAGCCGTAAGCTTGCACTGAGACCCATGGGAGGTTATCAGGAAATCATAAAATAAGAGACAAGCTACCCCCTGAGAGGAAATAAGCAATACACTGTCTCAACAAATAAACAGAGGGGCTTCAGCTCATACAGAGACAAAACAGTGAACCCAAGCATTCATGTTGGACAACTTGTGAAAGATGAAATGTAAAAACCACATACAGGCTTTGCACTGTTGCAGTTTTCTCTTCTTTTTCTTTTACCAAGGTATCTAGGGAGACAAATGGAATCATGCTAACACTCAGGTAGGCATCAGTCTACCACAAGGACCTTGAGCTGCTGTGTAAACAAGGCGTTAGGTCTTAACCAGAACATGTCACACATTTATGCTGCTCTCTGGAGTATCTCAAGAGACTAATTCTTATTTTGCCACATGGTAATGAAGTCCGTAGACAAACAGGCTCACATGGAAAACGCACAAACAGATCCACTTGCTTTGGATGAGTCATTAAGATATGTAAATCAGAGATTATGTTAACACACAAGACGACAGGGAGAAGAGAAGGCGAGGAGAAAAGTGCGGGTGAGGCAGATTTCCCGGGATTGAGAAATGCGGCCCACTGTGAGCTTTAGATCACAGAGAGCTGAGGTAGGGCAGAGGTGAGGAACCCACAGGGTGAGAATTTGGAGTCCAGCCGTGCAAATTATGTAAAAGGGAAGGAGAGAAATGGGTAAAGTGGTACAGAGGAGATGCAAGACGGGATGGCTCATAGGCAAAAGATGGAAGCCATGTTATTGACCTCTCACCCCTGTGGTTTCCCTCAGGCTGTGTGAGTCGGTGTGAATGTGTGTGTTTTACTTTAGGCCTCAGCTATACCCCAGACCTCCCGATGCTCCAAAATACCACAGGCTTTAGATCAAAGAGCCACGAGCGTGGTTTGCCTTTAAATGGGCTCCCAGTTCTCTATGGGGTCACGCTATGTGAGTACACGCGTCTTTGCTTACGTTAACTAAAATCTACATGCACATGCAAGCATGGGAAAAATATTGCACCAAATAGCACATGAAAACAGTCCTACCACTTTGCTGGGGTCAACAAATTATCCTGATGAATTATGTTTTTTATAATCACTCTGGTAACATTGAAGTAATGCAACGTGAGGATGTGCTCAGAGTCTTTAACTTCACCATCAAGCACAAGCTCTGTTAAATGTCCAGCACTTAGAGAAGGCATATTGGTTCTATTTTATCACTTAATTTGTTTTATGTCATTTGAACCTTGTCTTGTTGTCTCCATTAGGAAAAAAAATAGCCATAGCAATAGCACATGGAGCACTGTTTTTATGTATGACATGGTAAAGTTGTTCAATTATCTTATCAATCAGACAGACACTGACAGAAAGAGAAATGTTGATCAGGGTTTTTATCTTAAAATGAGCATGATTACAGCAAACACACAAGTGACCACTTAAAATTTTGTTACAAAGGCTCTGTATTCAGAGGAAGGACTCTAATACCATAAATAATAGGAATAAGTGGAAAACAATCATGGAAATAGTTTTTCTTTATTGTGGAATTGCGCTTGAAGGAACGCGCTTTTCTGTTTGTCTTTTATATTTTCCTTTCAACCCGCAGTGCCATTAAAAAAAAGTTTATTCCCGCTTACACATTTCTTCCAGGTTTCTTTTTGTTTCATATATAAATCTTTCAACTCATCAAACTGATTTTATATCAAAAATCAAATGAGCAAAAGCAAAACACAGTTTTTAAAATGTTATTTCATTCATGAATGGAAGAAAATGTCCAAAGCAGCATAGCTCAATGTATGAACGCAATTGCCCCCTTTGTCCTAATATATATTTTTTTCCCTCTTGGTGGCAAGAGCAATCGTTAAATCTTTGCGATTATGACAGATAGCCATCTTTAAACTCAAAAACTGATGGAACAAATATCAAGGATCCACAACAAATTATCAATGAAAGACTTAGTTAAAGGTTGTTCTTTCAGTAAATACATGGTCATATTACCTACTGCCCAAAACAGAAAATTGGTAAAAGTGACAGACTGCACAAGTTCACAAGATGCAAATTGTCATGCAAAAGGTAAAGGAGAATGATAGAGCAAAGTAACATGCATTCAAATAAATGTAAGAGAGACCTGAGTGGCTCAAAGTAAACACATTTTTCTCTTTTTTTTTACATAAATATTTTTTTTCCTTTCGTTCTCCAGCCAGTCGATTTCGAGATGAACCGGGCCTTCATGCTGACAGTGGTCGTGTCGAACCAGGCCCACCTGGCCAGCGGCATCCAGTCTTCACTCCAGTCGACTGCTGGAGTCACCATATCAGTGAAGGACGTCAATGAGCCTCCTTATTTCCCCACCAACCCCAAACAGATCAGATTCGAGGAAGGCGTTCCTACTGGCACCAGCCTGACCACTTTCTCGGCTTCAGATCCTGACAGACTCCAGATGCAACAGATAATCAGGTACCCCATGCACACTGTAGTATGTCATTGTTTGTTTTCTATCTTGATGAAGCTCATTCTGATCTATCTTAGTCTTGCTTACTGTTCTCAAAATACAAGCCACATGGAAATTATTCTGTTGACATGCATTTACCTAAAATAACCTCTGGGAGAAGCAGCTTACCAGTAGTAAGAAGTCAAAGAGCGACTAAATTATTATATGTTAGCTGCACCCACCTCTTAAAAACCCTTTTAATAGAAGTTTAGGAGGCTTTGTGAGGCATAAGTACATACAAAGATGCACCGCAAGAGGAAAAGAATTAAGCAGATGGAGTGAAAAAGAGGAGGTAAAGAGAACAGCTGGCTCAAACTCAAGCGCCCGACACCATTACGGCCACCTGCAGTGTTTCTTGTCTGTGCTCAGCTTCTCTGATTTTAAACAGGAGCCAACCTTTAAACATCCAGCAGACCTTACAATTTGCAAAGTCCAGCTGTCATCTTGACGGTGTGGCTAACTGCGCTGTCTCTTGAGAAAGAGGTGATCTTTTAATAACACTCTAGAATGACGAAGAGCTTCATATTGTGATGCAACTGCAAAAGCCCACATTTTCTTATGTGCATATATATTACAGAAAGCGTATTGGCATAACTTATAATAGCAACTGAGAATTAAAGCTGCAAGCAGCCTCGAACGGCCCTCGCAGCCAAGCGCCGCTCCGGCCTATTGCCACCGCAGGGTACGAGCAACCGCCGCCTCACGCCAGCCACCACAGAAGCTCTCACGCAGTTTTCAGCTCCTCCGCCCGCACCGCGGAAGCTGTTGCTCAGATTCCATCAACGCTGGCCACGTGCTAACACAGAAGTTGTTGCGCAGTTTCCGCGCCCGTCCACCAGGTGGTACGCACTGATGCGTTCGGATGCGCTCCTTGACGATGCAAAAAATGTGGTGCAGATTCATTGGTTTAGCGAGGAAATATAGCTGGCGGATTAATGTAGGACGCGCAGTGGAGTCAAAATATATTTCAATGCTGTTGTTCTCTTTAGAGGTCAACAAAGGTCATACGTATCCAATTTGGCGTCAGTCGGATGATCCACGTGTCATTTACAGCCGATCATATGCACATGACGAAGTATTACAGTTCGTCATTTTTCATCATTTTCAGCTGTGTTTCTAAAGAACTCTATTTCATTGTTGGAGTAATACTTACTCAGAGTGGCGAATTACTGAAATGGTTTGTAAGAAGTAAGAAAACGCTACATTTACTGCATGATTTAATTCAACAAAAATTATCTGAGACATTTCTATCCTTTTAGAAATTTCATGGCAACGCTCTCACAAAGTTTTCACGCCCATCCGCCCGTGGATCTGTTTGTCATTGGTGGAGGAACACTGACACCTACTGGCGAAATACTGATATTGTTCTTCATTCTGTTTATCTGCTGTTTCATTTGTGGAGCAATACTGACCCCAAGTGGCGAATTACTGAAATGGTTTATAAACGCCAAAAATGGGATCAAAATCTGAACTTCAATCTAAAATGGCTCACTTCCTCTAGGGTTTAGACCATGGCTCCAAGAGACTTTTTTGTAAGTCCTGACAAGGTACACACGTGTACAAAGTTTCGTAATTGTAGGTTAAAGCATGGCTTGGGGCTGATCATTTAAAATTTTCTAGGGGGCGCTATAGATAAATTAGGCCACACCCTACAAATATTGTGATGGATTCCTGTCGGGGAGTGGATGAAGATCCATCCTTGTGAGTTTGGAGCAGCTGTGCCCAAAAATGTGGAATTGAGAGCCAAACGTATGGCGATGGCGTTACAGGTCACTTCGCCACGCCGCCACGCCCAGCTGCTCCATCGAAGCTGGTCGGGGTTGGAATCCTCAACACACCAACATGTCTTCTGTGTCTGGGCACAGTTTCATGTTGATGAGGTCAAAGGGGTCAGATAGCGACCGTTCAGAGTAAAACATGACACTTCCTTTTCTCAGGGGGCGTGGCCTAAGTGATGTCATCATTCGACCATAGGGTATTGTAGGACACCCGATGATGATCAATCACAGAAACTTTGGTGCCTCTGTGAGTTTTGTGTAGGAGATATAGCAGTTGATTTTTTATGGGGAGTAGGTGAACTTTGACCCCTGCTAACCCCCTTCAGCATTCTCAAAAACTCACCGTTTTGATAACTTTAGATGGGACATGCCTTATGAACAGACTGACCGAGTTTGAAGGCGATCAATGGAAATCCCTAGGAGGAGTTCGATCAAATACGGAGGCTGTAAATGGCAAAAATGGGGTCAAAATCTGAACTTCAATCTAAAATGGCCGTCTTCCTGTGGGGTTTCGACCATGGCTCCAAGAGACTTTTTTGTAAGTCCTGACAAGGTACACACGTGTACAACGTTTCGTAATTGTAGGTTAAAGCATGGCTTGGGGCTGATCATTTAAATTTTTCTAGGGGGCGCTATAGAGAAATTAGGCCACGCCCCACAAATATTGTGATGGATTCCTGTCGGGGAGGTGATGTCGATCCATCCTTGTGAGTTTGCAGCAGCTGGGCCCGAAAATGTGGAATTGAGAGCCAAACGTATGGCGATGGCGTTAGAGGTCACTTCGCCACGCCGCCACGCCCACCTGCTCCATCGAATGTGGTCGGGGTTGGAATCCTCAATACACCAACATGTTTTCTGTGTCTGGGCACAGTTTCATGTTGATGAGGTCAAAGGGGTCAGATAGCGACCGACCACAGTAAAACATTACACTTCCTGTTCTCAGGGGGCGTGGCCTAAGTGATGTCATCACTTGACCATAGGATATTGTAGGAGACCCGATGATGATCAATCACAGTAACTTTGGTGCCTCTGTGAGTTTCTGTGTAGGAGATATAGCAGTTTATTTTTTTATGGCGAGTAGGTGAACTTTGACCCCTGCTTACCCCCTTCAGCATACTCAAAAACTCACAGTTTTGATAACTTTAGATGGGACATGCCTTATGAACAGACTGACCGAGTTTGAAGCCGATCAATGGAAATCCCTAGGAGGAGTTCGATCAAATACGAAGGCTGTAAATGGCAAAAATGGGGTGAAAATTTGACCTTCAATCCAAAATGGCTGACTTCCTGTGATACTTGCACTATGACATTAATTGTAAATTTTGAGCATCTTGGGGAGCTCTACAAGTGTACCAAATTTCATGTCTCTACGATGAAGTAAGTGAATAGCAAAGGGTCCTTTGAAAATTTCTAGGTGGCGCTATTGAGCCATTTCTTGTGGAATTTTTGCGACGACTTTAAAATACGTAAATTTGAAACAGGCTTAAGGCCTCCGCCAAGTTTGGTGAGTTTTTGAATATGATAAAGCCCCCAAAAAGCCAATTCATTTGGAGGGAGAATCGTAATAATAATTAAAGCTGCAAGCAGCCTCGAACGGCCCTCGCAGCCAAGCGCCGCTCCGGCCTATTGCCACCGCGGGGTACGAGCAACCGCCGCCTCACGCCAGCCACCACAGAAGCTCTCACGCAGTTTTCAGCTCCTCCGCCCGCACCGCGGAAGCTGTTGCTCAGATTCCATCAACGCTGGCCACGTGCTAACACAGAAGTTGTTGCGCAGTTTCCGCGCCCGTCCACCAGGCGGTACGCACTGATGCGTTCGGATGCGCTCCTTGACGATGCAAAAAATGTGGTGCAGATTCATTGGTTTAGTGAGGAAATATAGCTGGCGGATTAATGTAGGACGCGCAGTGGAGTCAAAATATATTTCAATGCTGTTGTTCTCTTTAGAGGTCAACAAAGGTCATACGTATCCAATTTGGCGTCAGTCGGATGATCCACGTGTCATTTACAGCCGATCGTATGCACATGACGAAATATTACAGTTCGTCATTTTTCATCATTTTCAGCTGTGTTTCTAAAGAACTCTATTTCATTGTTGGAGTAATACTTACTCAGAGTGGCGAATTACTGAAATGGTTTGTAAGAAGTAAGAAAACGTTACATTTACTGCATGATTTAATTGAACAAAAATTATCTGAGACATTTCTATCCTTTTAGAAATTTCATGGCAACGCTCTCACAAAGTTTTCACGCCCATCGCCCGTGGATCTGTTTCTCATTGGTGGAGGAACACTGACACCTACTGGCGAAATACTGATATTGTTCTTCATTCTGTTTATCTGCTGTTTCATTTGTGGAGCAATACTGACCCCAAGTGGCGAATTACTGAAATGGTTTATAAACGCCAAAAATGGGATCAAAATCTGAACTTCAATCTAAAATGGCTGACTTCCTCTGGGGTTTAGACCATGGCTCCAAGAGACTTTTTTGTAAGTCCTGACAAGGTACACACGTGTACAAAGTTTCGTAATTGTAGGTTAAAGCATGGCTTGGGGCTGATCATTTAAAGTTTTCTAGGGGGCGCTATAGAGAAATTAGGCCACGCCCACCAAATATTGTGATGGATTCCTGTCGGGGAGTGGATGAGGATCCATCTTTGTGAAATTGGAGCAGCTGGGCCCAAAAATGTGGTATTCAGAGCCAAACGTATGGCGATGGCGTTACAGGTCACCTCGCCATGCAGCCACGCCCACCTGCTCAATCGAAGCTGGTCGGGGTTGGAATCCTCAATACACCAACATGTCTTCTGTGTCTGGGCACAGTTTCATGTTGATGAGGTCAAAGGGGTCAGATAGCGACTTTCCACAGTAAAACATTACACTTCCTGTTCTCAGGGGCGTGGCCCTAAGTGATGTCATCATTCGACCATAGGGTATTGTAGGGCAGCCGATGATGATCAATCACAGTAACTTTGGTGCCTCTGTGCATTTCTGTGTAGGAGATATAGCAGTTTATTTTTTTATGGCGAGTAGGTGAACTTTGACCCCTGCTAACCCCCCTTCAGCATACTCAAAAACTCACAGTTTTGATAACTTTAGATGGGACATGCCTTATGAACAGACTGACCGAGTTTGAAGCCGATCAATCGAAATCCCTAGGAGGAGTTCGATCAAATACGAAGGCTGTAAA